TCTCTCTGTCAGCTGGCCCAACTACAGGGACTGGGTCTCTCTCAGGGAGCACTGAAAATCCTAGTACGATCCTAAGATGTGGATGTTGACTTTGAAAGTCTAATTTAACTGACAGATGTGTGAAATGGCACATAGTAAACTCCCCATTGGGGACAGTAAAAATGCTAGGGAGTAACAGTTAAGGAGAATGGCAATGATATAACCTCGCTTATTTTCTCATTATATATGATCCTTTTCTAACACAGAAATTTATTTTTGTGATACATAAGATTGTACTCACATTTATAAACACCTGTTTTTTAAGTAAATGCCAAAATTACACAGATTGGAAAGTGCCTTCTGGGAAAAACTGACATATAACACACATTACTTCTGTGGGGGGGGAAAAGAAAGCAACCGTCTCTTTAAATGGTAGATGGCAGTGTTCTACCTTTGAACTATGGATATATTAACTTCAAGCCAATAAAATTCTGAAAAGAAAACACAGTGATGAGAAAAATCACAATGATGAAAGAGTTTAAGTAAATAATTTGTTCTCTCTATTTTGCATATAAATTCTGTGTATTCTAATGTCTGACTTCACCCAATGTCACATTAATCAAAGGTCACAATGTTTTAAAGCACTAAGATTTTAGCATTACTTCAGGATAAGAGAAGAATAAGAAAATAACTAAGTTTGCAAATATGAAGAAAAACTTTAGTTTTATTTTAGGGATCCTCTGCCTGAATTTGCAGTTCTGAAAAAGCTGCTATTTTAAATAAATGATAAACCCCTTATCTCTTGGCTCACGGAGCGTCACGTTCACTGAGTCCAGAGAAGTTGATACCATTTGCAGGGTCCAGGAAGAGGGAGTCAGATTGTGAGCGGTGAGCACCTGCGTCCTCTGCGCAATTCAGAGGCGCTCTGCCCCCTGGTGGAACGTTCAAGCATAGGCTTTGATAAAGGGTTTGGAAGCCTCATTTCCCGCCCCCTCCTCCTACTGGCCTCTTCTCATCTGAAAACTCCAGTAGAAGCCCCAAGTTGAAAGCTTTTGCCCATTCGTTTCGGTCAAAAATTTCCTTTGATATAATATAAAAGCCCTCGGCTACCTAATCAGCCCTGAACGACTAAAATAAGAACCATATGAGATCAACGCGTTATCGTGGGTTATCATGGCTTTCCATAGGTAAGAAAAAAGCAGAGAAGTGGAAAATGAGACACTGAGGAGAGACGTGGAAGCGGTGAGGGCCTTTGGAATCTGGGAAACAACTGGAAATCTCTAGACAATAAAGAGAAAAGAGAGTTTTAAAATGACTGAGAGGGGCTTCCCTGGTGGCGCAGTGGTTGAGAATCCGCCTGCTAATGCAAGGGACAAGGGTTCGAGCCCTGGTCCGGGAAGATCCCACATGCCGCGGAGCAACTATGCCCATGCGCCACTACTGAGCCTGCGCGTCTGGAGCCTGTGCTCTGCAACGGGAGAGGCCACAACAGTGAGAGGCCGCGATAGTGAGAGGCCCGCGCACCGCGATGAAGAGTGGCCCCCGCTCGCCGCAACTAGAGAAAGCCCTCGCACAGAACCGAAGCAACACAGCCAAATAAGCCAAGCATTTGAAGCCAAGCATTTGAAGCCCTTTTAAAAAAAAAAAAAATGACAGGGTGCTACAGGAAATGAAATATTCGGCAGTTTCTTCTGGGCCACCAGAGACACAGCAAACGGTCTCTTCTGCTCCCTTTCAGCCTCTTGGCTGTGTGTCGCCAGCCCAGGGTGTAAGTCTGAAAGGCTCCAAGCCTCAGTTGCTTCTAGCTTAGCCATGTTTCTCCCATTTGGGCTAGTTTGGTCTTCCCCAGTGCAAGCTTTCTCAAATAGCCCTCAAGGTTTTCTCAGCTACAGGTGCCCTGCACCCATAAAGAAGGCCTTGACAAAATCATGGCTAAAGAGGAAGTACCATCTGCTGAGAGATTAGAAATCTTGATAAGCGCTTTACGTGTATAGGCTCTAAGCCTTTGCAACAAATCGCAAACCACACAGCGATAACAAGCTCTATGTGCAGCTCAAACCTAGAACTTTCCGATTCCAAAAGCTATGTTTTCTGTCTACTTCTCCAGTGTTCAGATAGGTTGGTCTCCTCCTCTTAGGTCTCCCCCAGGCCTGCTTCTAACTCAGGTCCTCCTTTTCCTTTTTCTGTATTTCAAGCACCATGTAGTGCCTGGGAATCTAATTCCCCAGCCTAGAGACTAAACATTCCTTCTAAGAATGCTGATCTGGAAAACCCCGGGGATAGTGGAACTGACTTGCCCTCTTTGCAGACTGTGTCTAATTCCTTTTAAATTCTTCCTCCGGATATAAACTAAATCCCTCAAATTGTGGCAGTACTTGCACCACAGTATCATTTATCATCAACTTTTCTCTCTTGAAGGTTCAAACTCCTAATTGCAACCCAGAATCCAGTGAACCAGTCTTTCCATAATAATAGAATTACCACCCAATGCTTTTTAGAACACAAAAAAGGACTTTTATTTCATTATTTTCCTAAACTTCATTTTGGATTACACATTTTTTGAAAGGTGGAAAAGGCAATTTGCAGTCACATTAACTCCACCAAATACACATAATCTGAGCTTTTGCTGCTTCAGTGAATTACAGTCCACTCAGGGTTTCCTGGTGCAAGAAGATAAATACTAAGATAACAGAGAGGAAGAATGAAGAAGGTTGGTCTGTAGAAAATGTGTTGAAGTCAATAACTGTTCATTCATAGGTGCAGTGTCCATTCTTAGAAAGGAAACTCTAAAATTCCTAGAAACACAAGACAATATTGGTATTTGGGGATGAATACACATTCATATATTTGTGTGAAATTTTGTGCAGTTCAACAGTATGGAAAATGTTATTTGTTACCACAGCCAATGAAAATATACTTTCATTTCTATGCCGGTTAAATATTTCCATCTCCCATATAATGTTCTGCAAAAAAGCCATACTATGCTATAGGCAGCAGTAACTGAAAAGGCGCTTAACAGTCTTAACTACATACCCCTAGGATGAAAAATACACTTTGCATAATCATGTGCAATGGTGGATGAGAAGTCTGGATCTCTTATAACTACAAGGGTTTACAAGCTTCTACTTCATACAGTATGCCCCCAATCCAGTCAATTCAGCCAAATAGTCAAGCAAAACTTTAGGTAGGTCATCTATAAGTGGCAAACAACCCGTTTGACTAAATTGACCACGTTTTGTTAATATGAGGACACGATCATTGCAGGTGCCCTATAAAGAAATCACTTGTAAAGGGCTGTTGGTTTCAATTAATTTTGCCCTCTTAGGCTCCTAGAAGTTGGCTTAATTGCTTCTTAGACCCAAGAAAAAGCCTTAACAAAAAGACAAACATTAATAACATAAAAATAAATATCACGCTCTGTGCACAGTCTTCTCGGTAGTAAGCTAGATTTCTCCATGGGAGAAATGTCACAAAAAATGAACAGAGAGACGTGGGGATACAGCAGAAATTTAGGATTATCTAATGCCTACAATTTTCTCTTACTCCGGTGACAGGTGTCAATGTTGATCAAAATTTTCTTTTGTACTTAGTTTATGTGTGAATCTTTGAATAGGATATTTTCAAGAGTCATTATGCCAGAGTAAAGGGCTGCACAGCAGGGAAGCAGTGTACTTCAGCTCAATACATCTATTGTCTGACAGTCTGGACTGGGGAGCTTCAAGCAGGGAGCGAATCCATTTTACAAAGACAACTTGTTTCTGCAGACAAAAGGTATCACCTGCAGAAAAGCTCTCTAAAGAACGGAGTGTGAATCTTCTTTGGCATAATAAATGTTCCACAGACATTCATTTTCCATGCAGGTAATCCTTAGGGGCTACTCCATTTTATTTAGATCATGCATATTTCATCTATTAGTGTGTGATCTTGCCCTGTGTCGGGGAGTCCTCAGAGTGAATCTGAGATAACAACTAAGTATTTTTAGAATTTGAAAAAAAAAGAGATAAATTTAAAGTATTACTGATAGTATATATATTCATTGAAGTGTCAGGTCAATGACAAATTTCCAAGGTTCAAAAGCTTGTTAGTTCCCTGGTTGCCCAGTAAGTCTGAGGTTTGGTTCCATGAGTTACAGGAAAACAGGCTCAATTTTAGCTTCTCTAAGCTTTTTGAAAGTCCTTGCATGTCATTTTCTAATAATCTTTGTTCCTACTCAAACTTCAATAGCAAGGGAAAAGAAACAGGTTTTTATCTTTAACATGGTTTTTAGGGGTTTTACTATTTTGAAGATTTTTGGAGAAAGGAGCTAGTTCTATTGGTTACTTTATATGTTAGCACACAAAGGAATTACAGATGGGAAGGAGAGTGCAAATGACTGTCAGAAAAAAGTCTCATGCATTTAAGATTTTTTACAAGTCAAAATATACATCCTCCTGTTGCCACCCATTCCTTAATTGTATAAGAACCATTCCTATCTCATCTGCCTCCTTCATAGCTCACTCAATTGGGATTAAAAATACTTTTCTTGCAAAGGAACTTATATATCTTATACCCATCAGTTTCATCAGTGGCGTTAATAAGAAATATAGCAGCAGCTTGGGTTGAGTCACCCATCATAGCCCCCATTTCTGGGGATTTAATTGTGTAAAATGACAGGTACATGAAATTAGGAGGAAAAAGCAATCTGCAGACTTTGGCACTAGCACACGTAACATTCTGTTTGAGTTGTTAAGGAATGAGGTTTGACAATCACTACACAGGAATTAAAAAATGAGAGATCTGCAGACAACAAACAATCATAGGCATTGGTTTTCAGCTTAATGCCCCCATCCACTCCCCACCCCATACAGTTTCAATTATAATAAAAATAGAGATCTTAACATCAGAATTTTGCTGTTAACTCTTCAAGCCACACGTAGGGTTCGAAGCACCAAATCCACAAGTTTCTCCAATCAAGTTTAAATGAACAAAAGCTGAATGAAGACTGAAGGATGCCAAAGTAACTGTTCTTAAACGAAGCTGTAACACAAAGTTCTCCCCCAAACACAGGGTATTAGTATCTAGTTCAAGTACTACCAGGCTGTATGTAGATCATGTCTCAGACAGGCTCCAGACAAGAACTACAAGTACTTTGGGTTCTAGGGGGCATCATCCATGATACCAAAGCAGGGCAGGGATCCCTTCTCCATCATCGATTTTCTGAAAGTTGCAACCCCCCTTGCGATGGGCTGCGGCAGGGTCGGTGCTGAAACTGGGGTCTGAGGGGAGAAAGTGAGCCCCCTCCTCAGCTGTTTGAACGGTTCTCCTTTAGAGCTCTCGCAGGGCTGTCCTGGCTTCTCAGGATCCATTGCCCTTGCTCAGAAGAGAGAGCCTCACTCCGACCCAGTAACAGTCAAAGAGTTGACCCACCTGTGGAACCAGACACAACATGGTCCCCCAAAGGCCGCTTAGGCGACCCCACTGCAATTGACAAGTCAACTTGTGCACTTAAAGCGTATCAGTTTATGGAACGCTTGTTTGAAGTCCTCGTTGGACATGGTATAGATGATGGGGTTGATGAGGGAGTTGACATAGCCCAGCCACGTGAAGAAGTCAAAGATGGCCAGGTGGAACCAGCAGGCGTCCTTGCAGATAGGCATCACCAGGGAGATGATGAAGAAGGGCAGCCAACACACAATGAACGCTCCCAAAATGATTCCCAGGGTCTTGGTGGCTTTGCGCTCCCTAGCGGCCATGAGTTTCTTCTTCTCCAGCAGGGCGTCGGAGACTCGCACTTTGACTTGGTTCACGTACACAGGAGACCCCGATTCGCTGGGTAAGTCTGCAGCCCGCGAATTAATGGAGGTGACGGAAGACGTGGACCCGGGCGAGTCAGTAACCAGCTGGGCTCGGGTCAGACGCTTGCCGGTTCTGTTGGGCGTCTGTTTCAAAATCCGGGAGCGGGCTTCCACGTAGATGCGGCCATAGAGGGCGATGAGCAGCAGGGTGGGGAAGTAGAAAGCGCCCACCGTGGAGTAGACAGTGTAAAGGATGTGATCCGTGTTCACCACGCAGTTCGACACCTCCTCCTCGGCTTTGGCCTGACGCCAGAAGAAGGGCGGCAGCGAGATGGAGATGGAGAAGACCCACACGAGCGCGATCATGACCGCCGCCCTCTTGGGAGTCCTTTTAGCCGAGTACTCCACGGCGTCCGTGATCGCCCAGTACCGGTCCAGGGCGATGACACAGAGGTGCAAGATGGAAGCAGTGCAACAGGTGATGTCCGATGACAGCCAGAAGTCGCACACCACCTGGCCCAGCGTCCAGCGGCCCGTGACCGTGTACATGGTGCTGACGGGCATGACCAGGATGGATACCAGCAGGTCGGTGACCGCCAGGGAGGCGATCAGGTAGTTGGCGGGGGTATGCAGCTTCCGCGTCCGGTACACAGTGGCGATCACAAACGCATTGGAGAGCGTGGTGGCCAAGGTGAAGAGCGCCAGTAGCATGACCAGTACTACTTTCCAGGGCAGGGCTATTGAGTCCTGGTAAATGTTGCCCACGGCGCTGCAGTTGTGGGAGGGAACAGCAGAGACGTTGGCTTGCGAAAGCCCCGTCTGGGAGCTCACGGACAGCGGCGGGGCACACTGAGCGCCCGCTTCCTCCATGTCTCTCCAAGCGCAGCTCTCGGGCATGGAGCGGACGAGGACGAGGAAAGGACCGCTGAAGGGGCCAGAGTCTTGTCCCCTGGTGGCTAGTCGGATCCGTGGGTTCCTCAATTACTCCTCCACCCGGGCTCCCAGGTGAACCTAGAGGTCAAGGGCAAGGCAGACGAGGCCGGCGGGCGCGTCCCCTGCACTTCGGGGCGCCCGTCGCTGCCGCCGCGTCTCTGGCGGTTCCTCTCTACGCCCCGTCTTAGCCCCGGGCTGCTATGGGCTGGTCCACAGAGCCCCGCTGCGCTCCGGCTCCCACCGGGGCGTCTAGAGGAGGAGGCTGTGGTTCTGTTTGAGGAGGGAGCATCGGCCAGGTGGGAGGTCTTACCCCAGTTGCTCGGGGCTAAGCGTCTCCTAACCCGGGCGCTCCGGGATCCGCAGACTCGGCCCGCACGAGTTTCCTAGCTGTCGAGACCAAATCTTGCAGGCCAGCGAGGGGTCCTGATCTTGCATTCCCGCCCTCCTCCCCAGGCTGGGGCAGTTTTCCTGCGGCGGCTGCGGTCGCCAGAGCTGGGCGGGGTGAAATCTGGGAGCCGCGCTGCGCCGCGCCTCGCGCCGGAGCTCTGCCCGCCCTTCTTTTCACGCGCTGGCCACTCCGGCGAGCTGCCCCGCGGAGAAGGGGCCGTAAGAGGTGGGACTCGGGGGCTGGGGCTGCGGCTGCTCGCGCCGCGCCGCCGCCGCCACCTCGGTCCCACGGGCGCCGCTCGGAGCCATGCCGCTGGGCGCACGGGTCTGGGGGACCTGGCGCGGCGGGCGGGGAAGGGGCAGGTGTCTGGGGGAGCTGCAGGGACGCGGCATACGCCGGTCCGGGAGGAGCGTGTGAGTGGCGGAGCGGTCGGGCTCCTTTTATAGAGTCCAGGTCCGGTCCGCCGGAGCCGTGCAACTCCTGCCGCGCGGCGAGTGCCAACGCCGGCTCCCCATCACCTTCCCTTTTTCTCTCTCCCTCCCTCCTATCCTCCCGCCCGGTTCTCTTCCCCGCCAAAGAAGCTCCCGCCGGGTCCTATCGCCGTCTTCTCCGGGTCCCATCCCCTGGCCCCTCTCCCAATCCGAACACCCGGGAGCCGAGGTTCTGGCCGGAATGGGGTTGAGGGCGTCCTGTCCATGCTTCTGTCTTCTTCCTAGCTTGCTGCACGCCCCTCCAGTTACACTCGCACCCTCAGCCGCGGGCACGTGCACAGCCTCACTAGGCTCCTTACTGGGTCCCTTACTAGGCTCCTAAGTACCGTCCCCCCCACCCCCGACCCCCGACCCCAGTAGGCCCGGCCAGCGCTAGGTGGAGCCAGCCGCAGTCTCTGACCTCTCCACTCTGGAATTTTATCCAGCCCTGCGGACCACACCCAAGTTAGAAGGAGGCGCCAGTAATATCGCCTTAGAAGGAAATGGCCAATGCTGCATTTTATACTTCGGGATTCAAGTCATAAACTCTAGGTACAGTACAAACTAATTTTTCATATCTGATTTTAGGAATCTGTGCTTTCCATTTAATCCCTCCCCTTTAACTGTGAGTCGACAGGAAAGAAGAGAGAGGGAAAAAAAAACAACTGCAAAAATGTACAAGTATCACAAACACAAGCACACTGTGAAATTAAACCGTCCGCTCCACCCTCCCACTTCAGCCGCTCAGCAGCTCAGTGTCTCAGGAAAACAGTTTGCAGTGAGCACGCTCGTTCCCATAGCCCGTCTAGAAAGGAGGTCATCAGAATTCAAGAAACAAACGGGCTCTGGGACCACGACCACCAGCACCATCCGTGCGCCTCCTTCGGCTTCAACAAATACATCGGGGTATCACCCATACGCGGCTCCAAGCAATACCAGTACCTAGGTCCCATGACCCCGGAGCAGGTGCTCTGTTCCCGTTCATCCTCCATCCCTAACAGCAACACATGTAGAGTAGAAGTACAAGTCAGAGAACATTGAAAGAAAAGTACCAGGAAAAGACACCGTATTTTCAGCCGTGAGAGCTAAGTGATCCCAACTGCGAGTTCCAAGCGTCTAGCTCCGTGTTTGGCAGCTAGAGTGCATTCAATAAAAATGACCTTCTAATTGCACTTATCAGGGTAAGTGTAAGCACATTTTAAAGAGAATTATTCAGTTTGGGGCCGGAGATTATCTGGCCCGTTCAGTTTAGAAGAGTCATTGAGATCCTTTGAAAGAAGAGCTTTTTACCCAAGGTGACACAACCCTAACCTCAGTTCCCTTGATTCCCGTGTCTCTAAGCCAACCAGACGGGCAAAAAATCTAGTGCCTGCTCTATGCTGGGAATTCTTCTAGGCACCTGGGTTGTAAAGGCCAATGGGGTAGACCCAGACCCAGTTTTCATGCAGTTTACATTCTAGAAGAGGCAGGCATGCAATAATAACACAAACAAGTAAATAATTAGCATAGTTTCATATAGCGTTAAGTGTTATGAAGAAAATAAAACACATTCACGTCTTGAGAGTGAGGGTACTTCTTTAGGTGGAAATTCTCCAAAATCGTCCTCTGGCTGCAGTCTGGGCTGCAGCAGCCAAGCTGGGTATAAAGGCACCACCTTCTCTGGCCTCTCCTGCCTTCCCTAGCGCCCAGCATCGCTTCGGTAAATTTAAGCGTCATTTGCACCGCATCTTAAGGGGTCCTGCCCATCCTTCCACCCCACCGACCTACATCAGGCCGCTAGCGAGTTAACTTATTTTGCAAACTGCAGAGCTCTCTTAGAAACCGCAGCAAAGGAAGGCGAAGCAGGCGAGCCTAAACCACTAGGTGGAGGCCTTAGTCAGGACGGAGCAAAAGTGTGTGTGGGTGCTGGGGGCAGGCGGCGTGAGGGGAACGGGCAGGAAACTGTTTTCCTGCTACCTTAGGGGAGCGGGACAAGGTTAGAGAGAACTGCTGAAGGGATGCGGGGAAGAGGAAGGCAAAGAGGAATGCTAGAGGCTGCAAGCAGCCTTTCCTTTTGCAATTTAATTGCTCCTCCTCGGGCTTGGCTTTAGCGAAGTGGGGAACCTGTGGCTTTCTCCAGCCACGCCTTCGCTGCTTCGCGAGTCCCGGACCCTGAGTGCAATCTGCCACCACTGGGAGGAGTTTGATTTTTCCTCCTTTGGTTAAGAATTTGCGTGAACACACCCAGCCATCACACGGATGGGATTTTGGCAGAATTTAGTGGAGAACCGTCCTTCCTTAACTTGGCTCCCTTGTTTCACTCACTTTGTTTTTGCACTTAAAAACATATAAAATATAGATATTTGCACACGAGTGCATGTTTGTGAAACACTCCAGAGACCAGGAAATCTTTAAAATCGCTTCTGTCAGGGTCGCCCCTGCGGAGGAGGGTCCCTTGGCCGCTCTGCAGTCCGCAACCGCGCTGGGCAACGCCCCTTCAAGTCTGCAGAAAATGCCGACACAGACAGCTGGAGGGGCAAAGAGGGAACCGAGGTGGGGTACTGACCTTCTGCTTGACTACCGGGCATTGAAACTGCGAATTAATGTGCTCCCCTCATCAACTCCACGCAAGCGGGGTGGCCTTTCAGCAGAAGCTGGGGAGGTGGAGGGTAACGCTGCAACCGCAGCGACGCCTGTGATTAGACACGAAGCCTGAGAAGGTGAGCTGCGGAGGGACCACAGAAGAATCGCCCCTCCAAGAGACCGAGTCTATGCTAGAAGGAAATGCTGCCGCTGCTGCCGCGAAACACGAGGCGCGGTCCTCCGGGGTTGCAGCGCAGCGCTAACGAGACCCGACGCAGTGAAGACAAGCCCCTTCCACCTCCACGCAGCCCCAACAGACACCCGGTAGAACATGCTGCAGCTCAGCTCTGGCTTGGCTGGAAGCCAGCCAGCCCTCTGGTCTGTGCGCTTGCAACATCCCTAGACTCTTTCCTGCATTTCCCAGAAAGAGACTTTAACCCCAGGGCCCAGGAGCAAAGAACTTCCTTGTGAATTTTATCTTTGCTTTGCAGAAAGAAAAAAAAAAAACAAAACCTGGAACACTCACGCTGTCGTCGCTTTGCTCTCTTGATAAAGCAAAGTGAAACTTCACACAGCTCCATGCCCACCAGTTGAAAAATCCACAAGCAGTCCCTAACCACGAAGTGTGAGGACCTGGCAAGCTACTTCTTGCAGATCCTGCTTCCTCCATCTATGGCCATGTTCTTTTTTGTTTGCTTGCCTTTTTTTTTTTTTTTTAACTTCCACCCAGGAAATGGGCAGCAGGAGATGACCATGAGCTCTGGTACATCCTCATGCATGGTGGTAGCCTGTTTCTAGGTTTCTATTTCTTCCAGTAACGATTCCTTAAGAAGAATACTGGTAGCAATGAAAGTTACCTCTTACTTATGTCTTGCTTGAAACTATGGAGATGTTCCGATAAATGAACATTTACATACATACAGATGTATACATACAATTTTTGCAGACAACCTCTGGGGGTTTACCAGACCTTCTGAGGCTCAGATCCCTCTCCATATTATTGACCCAACACTGGGCTTTTGACTTGGTATCCGTGTCATTGTACTTATGTGTTGTGTGCCTCTCAAGGGGTCTTTAAGCCAAATAATAAAAATGGGTGCTTTATTCTCTAAGTGCCAGGCTGGCATAAATTAACGCCTGAGAATTAGTAACTCTGCTACGTGTTTGTGTATGAAAACAAATATTGTATAAGGTATATCTGCATTTAAAGAAGAATGCAGACAAAAATTAGAGTATGTATATATAACTTAGACATGTTCTAATGCCTGTGTCTGTAGTAACAGCCACTTTGCTACTTCCAACAGATACCCACAACAGGTAGGTTACTGCTGGTTCAAAGCTAGCCCAGTTCCAACTAGTAAAAGAGTCAGCTCCCAACTTAGATCTCAGTCACATATTACCTGACTGAAGACCTAGGTTTTAGAAGATCATTTTTAACCTAAAGCTTATAGTAACATAAGCAAGGTTGGGTGCGGGAGAAGAGAGCTGATTTTTTTTTTCTTTTTGGACACAGAGCAGGTTTTGGCAATAATAAGAAATCATTGAATAGGAAAACAATGCCAGTGAATCCACCAAAGTTGAGAACAGCTTGCTGCCACCAGCAGGCAGTTCTGTGCAGGATGAAGTCTCTCCTAAAAAATGAAATCCAAGAATTTCAGTGAAACTGTCCACTGGCTTAAGGAAAGAAGCAATAGAAATTGGGTTTTGCCTTATTTTCAGACTAGGAAAAATTGCATCACTGTGTGATCTTTCCAGTTTTGCAAAAAAACCAAGCCATTTTATTGCTTCTTCATCTGTAAATAACGAATAATAAGCATTGTCTTTTATTGAGGGCTGTGTGCTAACTAAACCTTATACGGCATGTTCCAC